TACATGTGGACCTCTCTCAGATTTATTCATTTTGTAATGATATCTTTAATTCTCTAATTTTGGTGAATATTTTTGTCATTTTTGGTAAAAAGTGATATTTTCTTCTTGTTAAAAACCACAATCATTTATGGTGAAAAATGATATTTTTGAATTCTTGTTGAAAACAGCAAGTCCCATTGCATTGATACTATGCATATTGTTCATTTTCTAATGATATCTTCTGTTCTTTAATTGAAATGTGCATTGCTAACAGCGGAGCTATCTCAGCCGAGAGGCTGCTTGTTTTCACTGGAGTTCTGAGGCTCGAGATATTTTTTTTCAGAGCCATCAAAATCGCTGAGACTGGCCGCGTCACTCAGCAAGGTCGCGCGTCGAGTAAAAATCGGTTAAAGTGAGTTGCGTGTTTGGCATGAGTGGAAAGTTCTCACGCTCGGCTACCGGGACGCCGAGTAGAAAGCCTGACAGTGGAGGTACCATTATTTTTTGGTCTCTCCCTGTTGATCGGAGGGCATTCTCACCGTTTGTGTTTTCAGGCAGTGGTTTACCCAATTTTACCGGCTACAGCGAGGCTGTGCCCCTGGAGGTTTTTCCTCCTATGGGGCTCGTTGCGGGTCCCTTTGTGGATTCTTCCTCGCACGGCGCGGGGTTTGCCTCCGATTTGAAGGGCTTTGGTCGAAGGACTGTCGGCAAATTGCGTCCCTGGCAGGCCAGGTAGATCAGATGCAGTTGGAGCGAGCTGTCCATCGTTTGCATTCAAACACGTCTCTTCCAGGGAATCCCTCGTTCCCAGCCGCGGCTCTCCCACTAATTTGGGTGAGGCTGAGGCTCAGGCTAATTGCACCGGGTCTCCTCTGGAGCCTCAGGCAATGAATGCCAACAGGGTGCTGGCAGCCAAGCCTCCGATCTCGGGGCAGGGCTTTCAGGGCAGGGCAGGGCACACGTTGCACCCCCTACTTTCAGCCAGTCAGGGTTCGTCGCGCGGTAATGGTGCAATGGTAACGAATTTACCCTTGTTCCCAGAGGGAAATGACCCTGTCATGAGACGCACAGTCGAACATGCTCTCTCTCACATATTTAAAGTGGAAAGGAGACATAGTTCGCTTGCGTCGGATACAGCCGGTACTTCGGGCGGTCCATCAGAGTCTTCCATCCAAACCAACCCCGTCGGCACGTCTCTCCTCTCCGTCCGAGTGCGGAGTGAGGCGCAAGGGATGCAAACTGTGTTGATGGGCGGACGTTGGTCAGTTGCGGAGGAGGTAACGCTCAAGGCCCCCAGGTGGGGTAAAATCTTATGCAACACTTTCCGCTGGACCAAACGCTACCCGGCCGGTGTGTTTTCGGGACCAAAATACCCCCAACTGGATCCCAAGGCTCCTTCCCCCAGATCCCAGTACCACCAATTTCCGTTTGGCAAACCGGCGTTCCATGGGTGTTCTCGCCAGCTCAATTTGAGACGATCCATCACGCCCTGAGGACAGAGTTGCTTGAGCGCATTATTGTGCGCGCAAAGGACTCTGAGACCTCGGAGGCAGAGCTCACCAGCCTCCTAGACCGGGCGACACATTTACTGGTGGGCCACCGAACATCTACGTGTGACATCCCCTAGTGTCACCTGGCTATCTTTGCCAGGGCCACTACTGTGCAACGAGACACGGCCATAGACACGTGTGTTTTCGCCAGCAAGCTGAGTCAGGGAGTACGTCCCCACCTCAGTGACACAGACTGGAAATCTTCCACCCTCTTCAGGGAATGGTGGGTACAGTCTCGGAGCTTCAGAGTGCAATGAACCAGAGGGTTCAGATCGAATCTGCTAGCCAGTTGGCCCTGCCAAGGGTAAGCAGAGGGCACCCCAAGCACAGAAAACACAACACCCTAGGGCGTCAGCCAGAAGGCAAGCGCTCATACCCTTCCACGGGAGGGAAGAGTAGCGGTGCACCCCCAGGGAGGAATGGGCCAGGTGGTGGCTCCTCACCGTCCCCAGGCGGTCGTCTACCCTGGCAGCGAGGGAAGCGTGTTTGACGCTTACCTCTGCGACCGGGGGGACAGGCATGTGTTCGGCGAGTGGCCAGGTCACAAATTAGTGACTACTTCAGGCCTTGGGTAAACTCACCTCATGGAAGAAGAGAGCACCCACCCCTCGCAACTGTCAAACCCTTGGCCACATATCCCTGTCGTACACAGATTGCGCCGATGTAGTCCGGTTTGGAGACAGCGGGTGACCGATTCCTGGACATTCCAGGTGGTGACATCTCCATCTCTCCAGTCAGTGTCTGGGCACTGCCAGGGGACTCCCACAAGGCGGAAGCAATCAGGCAGGAAGTAGCAGTTTGCTGGAAAAGGGCGCCATACACAGGGTAGATCAGCCGGCATTAAGTCCAGGCTTCTACCCAAATGTGTTTGTAGTACCAAATCTACAGGTGGCAGGCGTCCAGTTCTGAACCTAGGCAGACTGAATCAGTACGTGCTCCTCGAACGGTTCCACATGGAGATGCCATTCAGGGTTCTTCTCTCCATCCACTGTTTTGAATGGTTAGCCCCACTATACTGAGCGGGGCCTATCTGCACATACCGATGCACCCAGTGAGTTGCCATCTCCTTTGAATTGCCCAGCTGGGTATTCAAATTCAAAAGTATTCAAATTTTGGGTGCCCTCAGTTCGGGTTCTGCACAGCGCCCTACGTGTTCACCAGAGTGATGAAACGGGTAGTGCTGCTGCTTCACCAAATGTCGGTACACCTCAAGCCGTACCTAGACGACTGGTTACTACACAACCTGGACAAGGGGTTATTAGCCAAACACGTCAGGCTAACACAGGATTTACTTCACTAGTTGGGCTCTTTAGTAAATCGGCAAGGCCCATCTTGACCCAACGTGCAGTTGGTGTTCCTGGGCATGGAGTTTGACACAGAGGTAAGCTTGGTACAGCTATTTCAAGCGTGTTGCTTATCGCTAAGCAGCCTAGCCGAACGCCTAGTCAGCGTTCCCTCAGTGTCCCTTCGAGAACTAATGCGGATCATTGGAATGATGACCTTGGTTCGAAGGGTGGTTCTCCAGACCGCACTACGCAGCCGCCTGGTATAATGCTTGTTGTTACAAAGCTGAGCTCTCCAATGGGAACTAGATAGGCGGTGTAGATCTCGGACCAAGTGAAGGAAGTCCTGCCCTGGTGGTCGTCACTGGCCAACCTCGGACAGGGGATCCACTTGGACCCACTCGCCGCAGGTATGACTCTGGTAACAGATGCCTCCCCCCAAGGTTGGTGAGCGCATCTATTGGATGAACAAGCCCAATGATATGGCCCTCGCATTAGTTTAGAGCACTCGCACTACCACGCTTTCTACCCGTAGTTCGAGACCACAGAGTCCTGCTCCGCACAGGCAACACAGCAGTGCTCTTCTTCAAGAAGGAGGGGGGACGCGTTCCCCATTGTTGTCGGTCCTAGCAGAGCAAATCCTTCTTTAGTGCCTGGAATACAATGTGGAGGTAACCGCACACCACCTTCCAGGGGTGAAGAACAGTCTGGCAGACGCCCTTTCAGGGCGGTTCTGTCTCCAGAACATGGAGTGGCTGGATATGCCAGT